TCCTTCTTTTGTGTATCATGGCACCTGGTACTTAGCGGATGGCCAATAAACAGAGAGTGAACTCACTTCAATTGATTAGGATGGTGCAGAGAAGGGCTCAGAGTCCCAGCGAACCCATTGTGGCAGAAGAGCCTACGAGTTGCTTGTTGATTCAATTGATTCTTGGCCTGAAATAAAGCAGTAAAATTTCATAGAAACTTAAATTTTTTCTGTACCACAGTTGCCAGGGGACTAGACAAAATCATCTGATGTCTGCTTTTAGGCCACATAGCTCATATTTCCTACCTCTAACATAAAAATACTTTGAAGTTAACAGAGCTTGAGTAAGAGCTGTGAGAGGTTTAGCTAAAAGGAAGACTGCAGTAAAGGTCTTTCTTGTTTTTGTAGAGAAACAATAGCCCCTGTAATTTGAACTCAGGGGAAATACAAGCGGTGACCCTCCTTTCTCACAGTGGCCACTAAGCAGTCAGGGATGGGAGGGAGGCAGACTGATGAGTGTGCTCTAAAGAACCTAACTTCATCATGGAGTGCTCTTGGGTGGGTGCCTCAAAAATAGCTTCTGCATGTAGGTAGGCTCTTGAAATTTTAGCAGTGAGATGAACTTGAGAAGCCTTGTGAAGCTGAATTGAATGTTATATGAAAATAGAGACTTTTGTTTGTTTGTTTGTTTGTTTGTTTTTTCTGTCTTTTGAAGCAGGGTCTCCCTTAGCCCCAGCTGTCCTGAAACTCACTATGTAGACTATGGCCTTGAACTCAGAGATCCGCCTGCCTCTGCCTCCCAAGTGCTGAGACTACAGGCATGCACCACCATGCCCGGCTAAGACTGTTATTTTTATAAGAGACAAGAAGATTCAGGAGAAACGTAACTTTTTTCTTTCAAGAACTTGTTGGACCTTTAAGCAGAAGAGTTTCAGACTGATCTAGAAGAGTGACTTGTCTCTGCAGCTCCACCAGGATGGGAGTTCTTTCTAGAACGAGCAGATCTACAGCAAAGATAGCAAATGGCTACTCGGGCTGAGTGGTCTGGCCCTGGCCTGCCTTTCTAGCCCTAGGCTGTGTTAAGTTCCTCCATCACTCTAGTATGTGTTTCTCTTGATCTTCTTTCTGCTCCTGTGTGCTTTATTTCCTCCTGTCACCCCTGCCTGGGCCATACACACAATCCAATGCAGTGTAGTCTCTACTGTGCACCCCACATAGGAATACCTCTCATAGACTATCTCCAGCGGAGGGGGAGCTACCCGCTGCTAAGCAATATGGTAACAGCCAGTTCTCAACTTTTACATACATACTGATTCATTTATTTATCACAGCTCAGCAGGTGTTTACAGAGTTCCTACAGAGTGGTGCTAAACTATCTTCCGCGGTTGGCCTCTGTGTCACTGTTTACCTTTAATAAATGTTCTCCTGAGGGTACCTGCTGTTTTGGTGACAGTTCTCTGTATTTGCTTGTGAACTTGTGTGCATCCCCTTCCTCAGCCCCCCCCTGGATGCTGCATGCTGACAAGCACATTGTCCGTGTGGCCATCGATGACTTCTGTGATGCTCGGCGCAGTGACTGGTGTGCACAGTAGGGCCAAAACATCACCGTGAAATAATGATAGATAAATATGTTAATATATACCGAAAGGCAGCGCGTTTGCAGCCAGTTGAAATCATTTCTCACTGGGTAGATCCACAGTGAATGGAATCGTGTAGAAAATGTTTTCCTTTGGCATTATAGTAACTACATGAGTTGTGACTGGCAATGTGCTTCACTCAGCTTCCCATTTGACTGTGAGCCCCTTGAGAACAGGATGAGCTCTGTCTTTGAAATCCTACAGAATAAGCAGACAGTCAATGAGTGGGAAATGTAGGAAAATATCTTGTTTTCTGAGAATGTTCTATTTATAGAACAAGAATGTTGGGCCAGAACGAACAGTGGTAATAATATAATCTACTTGTTTTGCCCAGCCACCTAGGATACCTGGGTAAATATTAGCTAATGTGCAGCCCTTTGCTTGCTATTAAGATTTACTGATTTCAATAGAAAGAAACCTAAAAGCCAGGCATTTATATAACCCAGACACCAGCGACAATCTCTAATCACCCAGTAGTTCATAAATGCACATCAGCTCTGTCTGTGGTTAGATTAAATGTTCAGCAAAGTAGGATCTGTGTGATAACAGATCTGCCTTGAGAATGGTGGGTTTGGTTAGAGGATGGATTTGCCTCTACCCTTGCACTCTCTTAGTTCTCATCACTCAACAAACAAATCAACAACACTGGCTAATCCAGTCCATGTAAAACGCACCTCCAGTAAAGGCCAGTTTTTCCAGATTAAACCCCACAATAACAATAAAGACTTCTTTTATATCTCAGTTTCTTACATAACAGCGGTTGTTGTATAAAGAGATTAATGTGGTATCTTGTTTCTTCCTGGTATGATCTTACCCTTGTCTGACAAATGTGTTCCTATCTCTTTTTCTCCATCCATCTGTATCTTTGTGACCACTTGGAAAGTTTAGTATGCAGTACGGTCCAGAAAACTGGCTGGGAGATTGGTGATAACTAACTGTTTCTAGCCAAAAGTTATTTGGCATGGCTTAGGAGATCATCAAGGGAGTTATAGAGCGTGGCAAAGGAGAGGAGGGCCATGCTGGGATCCAATCCACGTCTGCTGCCCTGGACCTCAGCTGGTAGTTTGTCATGTCTTGGCTTGACGGTATTCAAGCCATGTGAGGTCTGAGAAAAAAATACATACACATATATATAGATATACCTAGCTCCAGGTTTGGTCTGAGAACAATCACTTGTGTTGGTTTAAGCCACACAAATCCACATTTTAAGCATTTCAGACTAATCCAAATTAGCACATGTCTACCAGCTGAAGCTTAAGATTCACTAGGCTGGGCCTAAAAGAAGTCAGCCTCCATGGATGCTTCAGATCGGAGTATGTTTAGAGTCTTGGTAAGTGCAGACAATTTGGGGAAAACACTGTGGGTTTCTGGCTGCTCTTGTTTCACCTCTCATAAGGCCAGGAAAGTAATGTTTTATTTTGTTAAGGTAGTTATGGAAACCCAAACTTGCTGGGGTACTTCTTGACTTTACAGAAATACTCTTTACCTTCAAGAGTGAAGCAGATGTCAAGGAGGCTGGAGCAGGGTGGTGGGGAAGAAAAGCTTGGAAGCTTATTTTAGAAGTCCTCTTTGGAATTATAATGTGTGATGAAGAGGATGGGGATTCCAAAGATAAATGTTGGTTTTAGAACTGGTAATTGAAGGTATGGCCCAGGACACAGCTTTAGTTGCTGTGAACCTAGGAGGGAACATCAATCTTCAGTTGGTACAGCCTAGGCTATATCCTGGTGCATGTGTAATGGAAGGGAACACCTGGGGAAGGAGATCATTTGCCCTCTCTGTGCCTCACTTGGGGCTATTCCTTATCTGATTCTTGGGGACTTGAGGTGAGCGGGGTTGGGCAGGGCCCTAAGTGTGCAGAGTGTCTAAAGCTTTCTTGGTAGCTTTTTCTTGTTCTTATTTTTAGAGCTTGGTCTTTACAGCTCAAATCACCACTGTGGCTGTGGTTTTCTTTTCACCTCTTCTACTTGGTGTGGCCTGTTGTGTTTTTACCTGGGTTAAGGCCAGGAACAAGACCCTGAGGAATATCACTTTTGTTTAAAATGTGTCAGTAAGCTGGTTTCGCTTCCTAGTTTTTATGAATAAACACATTTTTTGAAGGGGGATTTTGAAGTCTATTTTTAAAAACATCTTTGCATTTAATGAAAAATACCACAAAGACAATGCTCACCATGGTGGGCACACCTTGATTTTCTTTGCTGTAGGGGAAGCAGCAGCCTATTGCGTACAACCCCTGAGTTTCACTGTTGTTGGCTGTTTAGGGGAAAGTCCCTTCACTGTTTTGCTGGAAATTGTAAAATCTGTCCGCAATAAGAAACCCTTGAGCAGATTTTGAAGAGCTTGGTCCGTTCATTGCATTATTCCACGTGTATTGATGGAATAAACAGTAAGTACTCACAGCCTGTGCTGGCGGCTAAGATCTAGGAATGAGTGAGGCATGGTTCTACTTTTATGGAACATTAGTGAAGTCCATGTTCATCAGTCCTGTGGCCACCCTCATTGTATTTCTTTTGGAAATTTTGGCAGACCATGGTGACAGAGTAGGAACAGGCTTGTAGCTCCTCAGAGTAAGCCTCTGAAGTCACCTGGTGGGTTGTAAGCTCTGTGAAAAAAAAAATTTAACCAGTATTTGTCTTCAAGTGTTTCAGGAAAGCCTAATTTTTGGATAGGAAATTTGATAATTGAGGCACAGTGTGGCTGAAATTTTCCTAGACTGAAGGCAGCGAGCCTTGAGATTTGGTTCTGGCCTTCCTGGTTAGGTGTATGACTTTGGAGAAGTCATTTAAATTTTCTAAGTCTTGGTGCCTTCATTTGATAATGAAGGAGTTGAACTGGGTCAGGCCATCTCTCAACATAAGTACTGGAAGAGGCAGACAGACAATGTCAGTAGAATATTGATATGCATTTCCTTTTTTCAATTGCTTATTTTTATATATCACAAAAATAAACAGTGCTCCAGGCTTATGATTTCACAAAAACTATTGTTTAGCAGAAGGCTAAATTAGCTTTATTAGAGGGTGACTATTTTAATAACAAATCCAATAAGTAAAAATACAGATTATATGGGTTATCATATTTTTAACATCCTATGAGGCTGATTGAAGTCAGAGGATACTTGAATATATTACCTCTTAACACCTTTCCACTTCTGTTTCTCTGTCATTAATATTTTACTTAAGCATCATGGCCCTCCAGTGGGAAGTTAGAAATTCTGTATGGTTTAATCTGACATCCAGAACGAGCTAGTTGGTTTGTGCAAATGACCGATAAGCCTGGACATTTTGAGAGATCTTTTCATAGTTAGTTCAGTCTGTGTCTGGATCATTTAGCTCACTACGGCTACAGCCGTAATCTTATTTTTGTTTTCCTCTCATGTGTTTTCAGGTCAGGGCACTGACAGAAAGGATGTTCAAACATCTTCGGAAATGGTTTGTCACTCACATTTTTGGGCATTCTCAGCGACGAACAAGGCTGGTCTCCAAAGATGGAAGGTGCAACATAGAGTTTGGCAATGTGGATGCACAGTCAAGGTTTATATTCTTTGTGGACATCTGGACAACTGTACTTGACCTCAAATGGAGATACAAAATGACTGTGTTCATCACAGCCTTCTTGGGAAGTTGGTTCCTCTTTGGTCTCCTGTGGTACGTGGTAGCCTACATTCATAAAGACCTTCCAGAGTTCTTTCCACCTGACAATCATACTCCTTGTGTGGAGAACATCAATGGCATGACCTCAGCTTTTTTGTTTTCTCTGGAAACTCAAGTGACCATAGGCTACGGATTCAGGTTTGTAACGGAACAATGTACCACAGCCATTTTTCTCCTTATCTTCCAGTCTATTCTTGGAGTGATCATTAACTCTTTTATGTGTGGTGCCATCTTAGCCAAGATCTCTAGACCCAAAAAACGTGCCAAGACCATTACATTCAGCAAGAATGCAGTGATCAGCAAGCGTGGTGGGAAGCTCTGCCTCCTAATCCGAGTGGCTAATCTCAGGAAGAGCCTCCTGATTGGAAGTCACATATATGGCAAACTTCTGAAAACCACAATCACTCCTGAGGGAGAGACCATCATTTTGGATCAGACCAATATCAACTTTGTAGTCGATGCTGGCAATGAAAATTTGTTCTTCATCTCTCCACTGACAATCTACCATATCATTGACCACAACAGCCCCTTCTTCCACATGGCAGCAGAAACACTTTCCCAGCAGGACTTTGAATTGGTGGTCTTTTTAGATGGTACAGTGGAATCCACCAGTGCTACTTGCCAAGTCCGCACATCGTATGTCCCAGAGGAGGTGCTTTGGGGTTACCGTTTTGTTCCCATAGTATCCAAAACCAAGGAAGGGAAATATCGAGTGGATTTTCATAATTTTAGCAAGACGGTGGAAGTGGAGACCCCTCACTGTGCCATGTGCCTTTATAATGAGAAAGATGCCAGAACCAGGATGAAGAGAGGTTATGACAACCCCAACTTTATCTTTTCAGAAGTTGATGAAACAGATGACACCAAAATGTAGCAGTGGCTTTCCAACATGAGAGAAGTCTTCCAAGAACCTGATGGCTAGACATGTTATGAAGCAACCAACAGTTTGGGGTGTGAAAGCAGGATGTGAACCCCATGACTGTGACCCTACAAGACTCAAAGCCCTACAGGTTACAGTAATGGAGCATGTGAAAGAAACTGGCACATGGAAGCCATAATAACTTGCTTAGAATCTTGACTAATACTATTTGAGCTCATTCAATCTTGATGGAAACAAAGTCATCAAAATCTAATAGATAGGCAAGAAGATATTTTTTTAAAGACTCCTTAAAAAAGTTAGGTGTTTTACATAGGATCAGGGAATAGCTATATTTTCATTTTGATTCTACTGATGAGAAAGATGTTACTTTCATTTTAATGTAGACGTTTATCAATGGAAAAATTGTTCCTTGAGTTGGGGGATGTGAACTAACCTATCAATGACAATAAGATGAGACTGCCATACAAAGAATGACTTGAAGCGCTAACCTTCTCAACCTACAATGTGTGGATCCTCCTCCTGAGTCTGGGTCATGTGTGTTAGGAGGGTTAAAGTGTCGTTTAGTGACATTGCACCTCTGAACCCAAGGTAGAGGGGAACAGGAAGGCCCAAACTAGCTGCAGCTCATGTAGACTTTGGCTCAAATGACCTTATTGGTATATTAAACTAAGTCTATTCTCCAGACTCTGGATGAACATCTTCCTATAAGGAAGAATGTTTGAGTTGAAAGTGCTAGTGAGGGGCCTGGAGAGATGGCTCAGTTGATAAAGTGCTTGCTATGCAAGCATGAAGACCTGGGTTTGTATCACCAGGAACATTATAGAAAACCTGACATTACAACATACCCCTGTAATTGCAATACTGGGAAGGTATGATCTTTGAGTCTTGATGGCCAGCCAGTTTAGATGAATGGGTAAGCTTCAGGTTCAATGAGAGGCCCTGTCTCAAAAAACAAAGTGGAGAGTGACTGAGGAAGACATCTGATGTCAGCCTCTGGCCTCCATGTACACTCACACATGTGTGCATATTCATACACATATGCACATATATGACATACACACACACATATATCCAAAAGAAAGTGGTAGTGATATTTCTTTCAGTCTTCAATGGATGGGCTATAGGGTCACAAGTCTGTTAGAAGAATCTTTATTTTATTCCTTTTCAAGACAGCTATGAGGACTGTGAAAGCAGTCAGCTTGTAAGGGAATGTCATGCATGTGCTAAAAGATTCACGTGTTTCTCCACCTAGTACTTGAATTGAAATGCTCTATATGAAGAAATGGGAAAGAGGGGAATGGGATAGGGCCTCATAGTGAGGACATTGCTGTTTCTTCCCCACATCTTAAAAGGGACCAATTTGGAAGGATGATTGACCTTGAGGGAAGGTTATAATGCAAATTTTGTATTAATTTTCCCACCTGCATTATTTTGAATGTATCCTAAAAAAATGGAACTTAAAACTGCTTAAGAATCAATGTTTTTAGTTTGTGATTAATAAATTTCTGAAACTGCATGTGCTTTCCAAATGTACCACTTATGCATTAACTATGACAGGGAGCCTGAAGAAAATACTCTTGTCAAGGTAGACTTAGTCCTAGAAGGGGTGGGGCAGGTGGGGAGGAGGCAAACTGTGTGCATTTCTTGTCCTGACTTCTCAAGAGGAAACAAGCTAGGGTGCAGACAACTTCCTTTCCGGTCCAGCTCCATCAAATCTCTCCAGCATGAAACTTGGCACACAGAGAGACAGCTGCCAAACCTTGTCGGTAGGAATGGCTTTGTTTTTCCAGGTCAGGGGTTGAGTTTGTTCAGATCTGTACACACACTCTTGTCCTCTGTCCCGGACTAGTGGGAATTTTGATGAGTTTGGGTTGCACATCTTGTCAGTGGTCACAACAGTGAAAATATCTGGTCAACACTGGAGGATACAATATGCTTGTAAGTGCTTTGACACAATTTGATTTGCTGACTAAGCTAAAAGAAATCATGTATCACAGGCCTGAAGGGTTTGGAATTTGCTACTGGACCATTGTCACAAGGCCTTATGGCTCAGCAGCTCTTTATAAACCAGCAGGGAATGGTATTCAGTCAGGTCCCCTAGTCTCTTCTGTTCCTTGGCAGCGTGCTTGGGGACCAGTGGAAGTGAAGTGCTCAGAAGCAAGCCATCCATTTGAATGTATGTTTCTGTGCTTCTAATATTCCTTTATCAGGACCAAGGCAATCAACACTTGGAGTCACTTTTTTAGTACAAATTCCTGTTGAACCTGGAGCAACCATTAACATATACCTAATAAAGCCCTTAGGGAATGGGGCCTGGGGCAAGCAACTCTTGACAATTCTCAGGTAAGGAGCCCAAAAGGAGAATAAAAGATATAGAGCATTTGGAGAGGGAGTGTTAACAAGGGCACAGGATCAGTAAGCAAAGTAAACAAATGGCAGGCAGAAAGCAGTAGAAGGCCAGCTTGCCTTTGAATGCCAGGGTGAGGGGTGGGCTCTTTAAAAACAACATTAAAAAAAAAAAAAAAACCCACCTTTTTTCGCAGTGGGATCTGACCACATCAGAACTGCTATTATTTAAATCATCTTATTTTATTTATTGTTTATCTATTTCAAGAGATTTTGTATTTCTTATTCTGCTTAAGAAAAACTGCATCCTGTGGTGCACTCATAGTCAAAGTTTTCCTTCATGCTGTTCCATCTTGGCTTACCCAATTTATCTCTGTTGCTATGGAGATTTTGACATGGAGAGTTGGGTCCCACTTTAACCTTCCTGAACTTCAAATGGCTCAAGGGCCAATACTTAAAGTGAAGATTTGGGACACTGCCTTAATAAAGAGTAGAAGAAAAGACCATTTCCAAGTGGCTAAGTCAGTAGTGAGATGATCAGAGTGTCCATTTCTATCAGCAAAAGTGTAAGTGGCCTTTAAGGATAAACTTCCTGGGTGGAGGGCAGGAAGGCTGAGATGGCATCCTCTTCAGAGATTTTTCTTAAACCTAGAAATGGGTCTTACACAGGATGTTTCTATGACGGGCATGGAGACTCATCCCCTTTCTAGAACAAACAATAGGAAAACTTCTACTGGCAAGAATGGAAATGAACCCTTAGCCCCGCCCCTGGGCCGTTGCTGTCTGCCATTACAGGAAGTATGTGTCAATCAAAGCTTGACAGGAGAGATAGAGTATTTTATTTTGGAAGCCAGAAGTTTGAGAACAATGACTGGAATTTCCTCTTTCTGTCCAGCAAGGGCTGTTTGTCATTGGGGAGATAAAAGTCCAGGGGTAGGGAATAAAGGTTATCGGGAACTGCCCAACACAGAGCCGAGGTGGGGGGGCAGGGCAGGGGGAGGGGTTGTGGAGGAAATCTATTTCAATGCCTGTCATTAAGTTTCCATTAAAAGAACATTCGGTTAGGAATTCAAAAATAATTTAATCTCTCCAGCCAGATGCACCCAGCTGGACTCTTGGAGAGGAGCCCTGAAGAGGGGGATTTGTACTCTCACTGGGCTAGGAACCAGCAAGCATCTCCAGCCAGCCCATCTTTAACTGCTCTGGATGTTCTAGAAGACACAAGTACCCTTCTGGGAGGGAGAACTCCCACAAATTGTGGAGAATCATGGCACAGGGGCATTTACTAAGTGTTCACTTGCCTTAGGTTCTGTTTTAAGCATTAAGTACATTGGCTCTTAATTTTCACAGCAACCCTGTGAAGTCAGTACTCGTGCACTTATTTTTCAAGTGAGGCAGCTGAAGTAAGGAATGTTTCTGGAGTCAAGAGCCAGCAAATAGCATCTACTGCCTCCTGAGAACCCACAGACTTTGACCTGGAACCCACAGAAGGTGCACGCCCTTGGTGTGGTCTTATACTTCAGAAGGAGCTATGCATGGTTTAGCATGTGCTAAAGCCCCTAACCATGACTTAAGCCCCTCTGGAACTGTGTTTTTTTTTTTTTTTCTGGGGCTGTAGGTGATCTGCTCAGTGGGTCTGTAGTACCATGAGCATCCTTCAGATTTGTCTAGCTTGTGGGTGCAAACTATGCAAGCAGCGTATGCATATATGTATATATGCAATACTTTGTGTACTGAATATGTATAACAATTGCATATGCTAAACCTTGGGCTTACATTATAAGCACATGTAATTAAAAACTATTTTATTTCAATCTTAAGGCAGTGATGATGACGTTCCTATTCTAAGCAGTGGAGAAATGGAATCCCACTTAGCCTTAGAGAGCAGGATCTGTGTTCTCCATCTTCATTCCATTTCTAGCACGAAAGTACTCCAGAGCACCATAACTAAGTGGTTTTGAATGACCAAATACAGGATTACATGGCTAATTGTGAATTTGATTGCTTATCTATCAATGAACTTTTGCTCAAACTATATCATTTACTAGCTGAGAAACTTTGAAAGCAACTTCATTGAGTCTCAGTTTCCTTATTTTTTAAAAAAGACTTTTGAAATAAGGTTAAGGGGAGTATTAAAGGAAAGAATAGATGTAAAATTTCCTTTGTAGAAAGTAAATGGTGATTCCCTGTCAACACCTGGCAGAAACAACAGAGTTGAACCTAAAGGACTGCAGGAAAGGGCCCTGGTCAAGGGCAGACCTCATACTGACTCTTATGTGAATCAGTACATTGAGCTCTGGATTTTATTTCAACCCAAAAGATGCTCAGTTGGGGTTCACTGTAAGCCAGATATTGGGGTGCCCTATTGAGAAAGTGGGGGTCCTGCTCATTTTGACAAAGGATCCAGGGGCTTAGACATCCTGGAGGTCCAGCAGTCAATGTGGAATTGCTAATTGTGGAGAAAATTTCTTTTTGACTTTTTGAAAATGCAGTAATTAAAATGATGTGGATCTTACTGTTCACAGCAGGACTGTTGAAGATTTGTTGTTGTTTGCAATATACTTGCTAGGGACATGTAGTCAACATTTGTCTTAAGGTCACTTACATTTCTCTCAATGTTATTGTTCACCAGTTTGACCTCGAGTTGGGTTTGCTCCAACTTTTACACAGTTTCTTACTTTCCTTATTTGAATCAATAATTGATTTTATTCTGTACTAGGGATCAAATGCTGAGCTACATCCTCAGTCCCAACTGTTTTTCTTTGAATAATTA